TAACTAAAAAAAAAAAAACATTTTTAATGTTTGGCTTTGAATTGAATCAATGGTAACAATATCTAAGCAAAATGTGACTATGTCACCGTGAATGATCGAAATCAAGAACCGGTGAATATCAACAATCACATAGTCGCTTTGATAAATGCGACCATATATTTGCTGTGCCCGATTTGATATTCATTTATTCGTTGATATTATTATGTTTATTTTAATATCTGATGTGGATAGATTAGGAGAAACATCAATGCTCGGAGTACCGGGCAAATATACACCGGACAGTGGCACTTGTTTAAGTATAAATTTCGGACATATATCAAAGCAACTCTGTGATTGTCATCATTCACAGCCAGCCATTTTGGTTATTTACAGTAACAACTATGTTAAATGAATGGTAATTGTAATCAAACTAAAATATTCGATTATAACGGAGCCGAATTACAGTTTTACAGACAAAATGAAAGATATAATAACTAAACAAAATGATTGTATGTAGTCAGTTCGTGATGAATCATAGTAGTTTAATGAAATTTAGCTATCGTTTGATGAAGTTGCATTTGCCCACCAGTTTAAAAGTATAGTGCGCTCCATTATTGTTTTCGGACCATCGTTAGGGATTCATTCCAAACCGTGTCTCTAATAGTGTTTCGCAGCCAAACCAGAACGTTCGATAAAGCCTGGTGCTATTCATATGGAGAAAAATTCTTCAATGAGTCATTACGTCATTGGACTAATCGTACCGTTATTCCCACTAAAATAAAGGAAACGTAAACATAACTAAACTAAAAGAATAATGAAACAAAATGGTAAACTCAAAGGAATGAAGGATTACTTGAAAAATACAAAAATGCAACTCTTTTTTTTCTTCTTACCTTCATATACTGATGGAATAGCATTTTCAAAGTAAACAAGAATCGGAAGTTCATCATTTAAACCGTACTGTTTGGCTAAAGAATCATCGGATATCTTCACGAATGGAATGTTGTATTCTTGACTGTCATCGTCTATTTTTTCAAGTTCTTTCAATACCACCTGACTCACAGCACTATCAGCATCATCTAAAAGGCAAGACATTTTAGGTATAAATAAAAACAACTGAAGATTTAGAATTGGGTAGCATGCATTTTACCTAGCTACAAATTAGGTTAGGTTTTTAAAAGCATATCAAAAGCTTATAAATATCACTCATGTCCTCAATGTGAGAATCACTCTTCTTTCAGAGTCGTAAAAGACTTATTAAAGATAGAGAACAGGACACAAAAATGCCGAGCAGACTGTGTAGGGGTCAGGTAACGGGCATTGCATCAGAAAGGTTCTGGGTTAGAATTACGGGCAAGGCATGGATGTTGTTTCATTCTCTGTACTATCTGCCCTTCCTGTGGGAGCAACATTGGCCTACCTAATAGGGTGTCCCTGAAAGAGTGGTCCACAAATCTGCCCTGTAAATGCCTGTGTTAACACAGGTGGGCTTTGGAAATAAAAAAAAACGGGACACAAAAATCATCTATACTTTATAACTTATCTTCTGTGAAGAAGATCGGAAGTAATTTACTTAAAAAATAATCTGTTCTTTTTTCTTCGATTAAAAATGTTGGAAGTAAGTATTCAGTAATTTATAATTTGAGGTTTTTTGTCAAAATAGTGACTATGAATTTTGATTTAATAATTATTTAGATTGAAATAAGTAAATAGGGATATAAAATTTAATTTTGCCGATAGGGTTAGTTTGGCAAATGCTCACAGATCTTCAAATTATCGAAATAGATTAAACATATAATTTTTTTCTAACTAGATTACTTAAAAAAAAAATTCCTCCGATAAACTCGGTTATTCAATTTTGCTCATATTCGATTATCTGACATTTTTCAAATATTTTGATTTTTCCAACATATTTCTGTACCGTGAATATGTAAATCATCTACAAATCGTGTATAACAATAAAATACTACAGTTTCGCCTAGTTTAAAGAAATATTAGAAACAAATCCAGAAGAAAAAAAAAAGAATATTATCCCTGGGTTTGTAAAACGTTATTGGTAAAACGTTGTTAACTTTTAAAACGTTGTGTATCAATTAAATATTTTTAGAGAGTGGAAGCTAATTACCTTCAAGTAATTCTAAATTAAGGGAACAAGATCTAAAAAGTTCTTTACAAAGTCGTCATTTTCGTTAAAGCGAAAATAATTTAAGTATGATTTACTTTTATGTGTCTTAATCTTGCCAATAATTAATTTTTTGTATTATTTCCAGCTTTCAATTTATATAGCAATTATACTCTCAGAAAATTCTGGAGGTGCATTAATTAGTTAAGATTTTTGAGAGTGTTGAAGATAAATTTCTACTTAAAATCAATAATGCATATAATTTGGTACATAATACATTCAGTGTTTCGAAACCTTGTCCACAGCTGTTATCAGGGCCCGACTTAGCCTAATTGGGGCCCGGGGCAAAAACTTCTTTGTTGGCCCCCTCTGCTTCACTACTTCAGTAATGAAGAACTGGACTTCATGGAGGAATTAAAATTTTTCACCTCATTATACATATGAAACAAGAAAATTTACTAGAACCTAAAATAGCTATAAAGTCCCCCCACCCTCCAATGGTCAGACAAAATAACGTTCTGTCCCTTTTATTGATTTTCTGACAATTCTATGTGCATCATGCCGAATGCAGTTTTCTGATTGTAAACTTTGTCATCCAGCTGCAAAAAATTCATATCCTTGCTGACTATAGGGCGGAATTCAGTTAAATTTTCGCAATTACGACGGCTCACTTAAGTCAATCAGAAGCCTGTATTTTCGTAAACACATCGCATTTTGCGATATGTAAAAATGCAGGCTTTTGATTGACCAAATTTGTTCATCGAAATTGCAAACATTTAGCTGAATTCCGCGTTAGAAAGCCATGGATTTATGAAATATAGATTTTTCGTATTCATACGATAGATTAATGAAGAAGCTAACATAAAATTGACGGATTTTACACTGTACTGATATTTTAAACTTTCTATTCGATTTGGGGGCCCTGGGGCAACTGTCCCGTTACTGCCTTTGTCAGGCTTTGGTTGTTATAACAACTAGAAACGATTTTAAACTGCAAAAAGGACATTAATTTTTTAGAATTTCTTTACATTAGAAAAATTGTAATGTAAGAAGAAAGGTGAACTTTACAGAAGAGGACTGCAAGGGATGGAGTGGTTTCCACCAAATTCTGAAGCATCTTTTCTGTGACATCTTCAATTTCGTCTTTGGTCAACTGTTCCACCAGCCAAGCCAGAACTTCTTGTTCCTCCCGCATGTCTCCTGCAAGCAACAACATTCAATCATCTTTACCGTTGTGAGGTTGAAAGAAGAAATCACTAAGAAGTATTAGAAAAATATTTCTGGTGTGGGAAAAGATCTTTCCACAATGCCAACATTTTCTATCAAAAGCAGAGCTGCCAACTTTCCACTCTTTTTTAAAAATTTATTCAAGGGATAGCTATGTTAATGCGTTATTTTGTATTCATTTAAACTTATTTTCCACACCACTACATATGAATGATTCAAGAGTTCATATGCAACACCACTTTGCTCCAAATCTTTCGTGGTGAGGATTTTAAAATGTTAACAAAATTACCAAACTTTGAGAGTTTTGGCTTTGAAAAGTCTACAACTCTGTAAAATATTTTGCATATAATATCTGCAAAACGCGTAGTAGTTGGCGGGTCTGAAAAAGGTACTCTAGATCAGGGGTTTCCAACTTACATGAGGTCGGGGGCCGCAATTAAAAGCACCAGTCAAATGGCGGGAGCAACTTTATCAAAATTTTATACAGGACTCTTTTATGTTTGAAGAAACATTAAATATTACTGTCAGATTTTTATCAAGTTGTAAAAAACAAAAGTATTGAATTACAAATTAAAATAAGAAGTAGATTTTTACCTGAGAAAATTTTTTTTTTGCACTGTTGGTATGTTAAATTTCACAGAAACGAAGAAATTAGGTTTTTTTTTAGAAAATTGTCCGCAAAAAATGACAACTAATATATTTTAGTTCGCGAACCACAATAAAAGGCTTGGCGGGCCGGATGTGGCCAACGCCTCTTATGACTGAAAGCTTCCACACGGTTTTTTGTAGGTAGTCCGATCAGACCACTATGAAGGTAAACCAATTAGTTAAGGAACCATTGAATGTGAAATCTCATAAAAATTAGAAAGTGGTAGCAAATATATGTCTAAAAATGTGCTTAATTTATAAATATAATTGGTTTGTTTTATTTGCTTGTCAACCACTACAAATTCAATTCTTAAATATATGTGATAAATCTCTCTCAAGTACTTTTAAAATAGAATTTGGGTTCGTGCGCACAAGTGATTCGCTTTTTAAATAATCTGAGTCAATTCTTAAATATATATGATAAATTTCTCTCAAGTACTTTTAAAATAGAATTTGAGTTCGTGCGCACAAGTGATTCGCTTTTTAAATAATCTGCGCAGACTACTTATCAGAAACCGTGTGGAGGCTTTCTGATGTGGCTCGCGGGCCACCAGTTGGTAACCACTGCTCTAGATAGTATAATGATAATATGTCTTATATACTAGTGAATTGGTATTTAATATTTTTAATGGTAGTTACGTCACATTCCCATCTGTGACTGAATTCGATGAACGAATACCACTAGTTGATTAATGCTGTTTATTTTTTTTATTTATTTATTGGCCGGGAGAATTGTATTGACTTCACTGGAGCTTTGAGCGCTATTTTGGGAGCACATCAACTATTTGATGCTGACCATCCATCGATGTTGGCGACTTCATATCACGTCAGGATTACTAAATGGGGAAAGAACTATGCCAATCTTCGTCTATTAAAAGGTACCTCAACCAATTGATATTTAATGTTTTTTTGTGGTAGTTACGCCATACTGGATCTCAATCATCAACGTTATGAAGTTAGTCCGTTGTGCCTTTCAGTGATTCTCCCTTCACGACCTGTTCTATCCTATATGAGTCATGCCTTTCTGACTCTAGGAGAACAAGACCACACGAACGTGATTTTAATTCGATACTCTCGTATTATATCTCGAATACTTACTCTTTAGTACGTATACTTTCAGAGCTTATACAGAAGCGCTTTTCTTGTTTTAGTTAAGTGCTTTCTCAGCTGTTAATCCAACATGAATGGGGTAGTTTTATCAAATAATAAATATGCATAGTGAAAGATGGTTGCTTTCAATAGGCAGAAGTTAAACCAGTCCCCCATGGTTTGGTGTGGTCCCTGTGTATGAAGAACAAAGCAACATTCAGGGACACAGCAGCAGAAGTTCTTGAAGCGAATTTGCACCCTCCTGTCCTGCCAACCACTACAGAGATCGGGGAAGGGTTGGGGAGAAGAAGAAAAGCTTTTATTCTATGGATGGTTGAATGAATGTAAACAATAACAAGCTTTCTAAATGGAAGAAATTAAGAAAACTTCAGGTGTATCTCTCCGATTATGTCATGCTTACGAGGTGATGTTTGAAGAGGCTTAATATTCTAAGAACTTTTATTATTTTCACTTAAGTTTAAATGTACGCTTAATTTTACCATTCATAAGAGTTTTCCATAAATTATAAATTCTAACAGGTCATGAACCTCAAACAAATTTAACAAAATTAATACCACAGCGTAAGTAAAGTGTAAGGTTAGCCACATTTTGAGTGTTACCCTTTATTTGTCTGTATTTGTGTAATTTGCACGGTTGGCTATTTTTTGTGTGGCATCATAGCAAGCTTGCGGAGTGTTCCGAATTCATTTTTTGCTTGTTTCGTTGATTGCATTATATTGCAAACACTACTAGTACAATAATATAGGATGGTGCGCTTTTTCAAGATTGGACGTAAAAATCAATCGGAAGTTGTAATCGGGAAGTTTAACCCCTAGCGTTATCTGTGCGTTGCTTTGCGCGGTCAACCATCCATTGACTCACAATTCACAAACTTTTGACAAACTACAAATCACTATTTGGCAAACAGTACTGTACTACTAATTAAGATGTTTATTTGAGAATGCTTTTATATCATCCAAGTTTATGAAATCTGCTAACTCATTTTGACATGGAAAGAAAGAACGAAATGGCGGTTGGCGGGACAACCGATTTACGGGTGACGTCACTTTGCTTCTAATACGCATGCTCTGGATCTTAATAGAAATGATGCTCTGCTAAATCTTTTTTGCCTCCCCAATAAACTGTTTTTCTGGTATAGTATGCCGCACTGAGCAGTTCCCAGCTTTAGTTACGTATTCATAGAGCTAGACCTCTTTTTTTTCTAAATTCTTTGGTTTTATGTTTAAAGAAGGCTAAAAATTCAATAGGGTGTTCCGCAAAGAACACCCTTAATACGTAATAAAATACCACAAATTGAAATTTCAGTTTTGCGAATTTTTCAATTGCTCGAAGAAACTAAATAAATAGAAAAGCTATTCAGAAAGACGCTAAAAAAATTCTGCAGAAACTGACTACAGATTGAAAGCTAAACTCCTATCGACTCCCTCCCATCCGGAGAGTTAAAAATTCTTGTTTCTTTTTCTCTTTTCAGTTAGTTGCCGAGTGCATGAAATACCTTATAAATGTTACCGTGAATAACCAAAATGAGTGGTTGTTGACTTCCACCGGTGAATGTTGACAATCACTTTGGTAAATGTCCGAAATATATACCAGGTCTAGTGAAGTGCCTGGTATATATTTGCCCGGTATGTCCTATATTAATGTTTTTTTAAGGTCTAGTGATACTGCCCAGAATGCATTTAACCTAACACTGATGTTTCTCCTAATCTATCCTCAGTAGATATTAAAATATCGAATAAATTAATATCCCGTCGGATATAATAAATATTTCGGATATTCACCAACTATGTGATTGTTGACATTCTCTTCATCTCAGTCATTCACATAAACAATCATTTTCTGTGGTTCAAGAAAATTTGTTGTCGTCTACTTTAATTCACAAAATGTTATACACTTCTGCTAAGAATTTTTATTCATTATTACATACTCTATCTACCATAGATAATATGTGATGGTCGATGTTTACTTTGTTGAAGATATCCTTTGATAGAAATGCCACTTTTTCAAATTTTAATTTAGACTTAAAGAACTTTTTAAATATTTTATTTTGTTTCTTAAGTCTTTCAAAGCTATTTTAACCTTTTGTGTATTGATTAAAACTAGAATTTCGCAGATATAAGTGGATAAAGAGACTAAGATTCATTTAGCTTTTTCAAAGTAGAATGAAGTTACGAGTACATTTGGCAGCAAACGGTCGACCCGAAACCATAGTCTCTCTTTTGGTAGCCAATTAAAACGGCAAGAGTCTATATGTGAAAGAATTTATGTGAAAAGAGTGGATATTATTTTCTGTTGTCAACCACTTTAACTTTAAAAATAAACTGTACATTGATTTCAGTTATAAATATATATATTCATAGTATTAGTATCTTAATACTTCCAAATAAATCCTAATAATGAAGCCTTCTATTACCATATTTTTCTCTTTCAAGAAGGAACCGTCCTTTTAAGAGGACGATAAACGGAAGGAGATAATTTTCATGGCAAATTCTATTTCCCTCTCATTGATATTTTAGAGTTTAGAGTTCAGGTAAATCTCGAGTAAACCACGAAGCTTCAAATGCTGAAAATAGGCTTTTAAAATATCAAAATGCATACAAATCACTGCAGGATAACTTCCCCACTGTGTAATCCTGCACACAGGTTGCTTACATTTAGATATTTAAAAAACAAAAACAAATTTACACTTTTGAAATTTTATGATTTACTGTAAATCAACCAGAACTCAACTTTTTTCTTCTCCAGTTTAGATTTTAAATTACTTACAGAGATGAAAAAGGAATTTGTGCCAATAGATGAAGAAGAAGGACATACCATTGTAGACATTTGGCATCTGGTTGTAAAAGAATACCAACGCTGGAAGATATTCCAAACCATATTTCTCTGCAGCACCCAGGTCACTTGTTTTTAGAAAAACTATTTTATGTTCATCAGCATCATCATCGATTTTCTCGAGTTCAGTTAGAACTTTCGTATCAGACGTGGCATCATCTGAATGGAACAAAGGAAAATATTTAACAAGTAAAGATATTACAAAATATTTGAAAAGAGGACTTTTCACCTTCTTTATTGTATGCTTATTAAGATTTATAAGTTATGAATCAATTTAGCTCACATAAAACAATAATGGCTAATGCTCGTTTTTATTAGTACAAAAAAATAAAAGTGAGAAACTGATACAGTTGATTATTATTTATTAAATTACTTCAAAATATTTTTTTTCATGATATCAAAATGCAAAATATTTCGAGAGATAACTTTTGATTGTTTACCCATGGTATACCTTTCTTAGAGAAAGTGCGTTTATTTTATTTCTGATTTTGTAGCATAATTTTTTTATAGTTACTACTTAAAGTTTCTTTCATTCATAATCTTCATATGATTACTTTTTACAGATTATGGTGCGATACGCTTCGCGTTAATTATATTTAGTTAAAAAAAACATACTTACAGAAGAGAACGGCGAGTTGATTGTGTTTTTTGATCATTATATCCAAGAGTTTATCAGACACTTCTTCTATTTCATCCGTTGTCATCTGTTTCACCAACCATTTAAGTACTTCCTCCTCCTTCATTAAATCACCTGCAGGAAAATTGTGCATCAACAATCCAGTTGCAAAAATGCCAAGTTAATCAAGTATAAACTTTGTGTGAAGAGTTTCAAATGCTTCTTTGCAACTTGGAATACTTGCTACTTTGGCTAATCTTTCCAATATACCACCAGGCTTTTTCGCAGAGAAGTTTTCTTGGTTCTTTCGTTAAAATTTCCAAATCAGAAGCATTCATTGAAATAATTTCACAAGAACTTGCAGCTATTATTTCACACAGCACAGTTTTCGCCTACTTCTATTTAACTCAACAATACAGGTTGAAAAACCATTATTTTAAATGGGTGTCCTGTCATTTAAGAGCATATTTCATAACCTGAATTCAATTTACAAAAATGATACAGTTTTGAAGAACCTTTTGATCTGAGGGAGTTATGGAAGATTTCTAATTCATTTTCAGATTTCAGAAGCATGATTATGATTATGCTATTGTTTTTTTTCTCTTTTTTTAAAAACTTTAATCTGAAGCTGCTGAGGATGGTGAATATTCTTTGAAATAAAACTTACTAATATGTAAAAAAATTTGGAAGACGCTATAGCAGAGGAGGAACATATCATTTGGCGAATTCCGTACCACCCTTATTGGCATTTTAAAATGTTAAGTTTCGAGAAAATAGAGTTTAAGGAAATTTAGGGTGAAACTACAAAGTTTCAAAAGCTGAAGAAATGTTTCCAAAATATCAAAATGCTAAAAAGGCATTCCGAGTCATCCTATCATAATTTGTTGATGTTTTGAAATTTTTTTTAAAAAGTATATAGACACCGCTTTTTAAGTTTTCAAGGACCGTACGAACACTGCATAAAGGTTTTAATTTAGACGTCTGATGAAATGCGTGAAACGGATGGAATCACTCACCTCTGTATATGCTGGGAATCTGACCCTCAAAGTAGACGAGAATGGGGAGTTCATCGTCAATTCCATACGATTTAGCCAATTCAGCATCGGATATCTTGACGAAGGGTAAATTTCTTTCGTCAGCTTCATCATCAATGTTCTCAAGCTCTTTAATCACTTTCTTTGATCTCTCAGAGTTCTTGTCATCTAAATGAAGAAAATGAATTTCAATAACAGTCACGTAATTTCTTTTATTTCATGTAAATGAGTTCATTTTTTGTTAGCAATGCGTCCTGTTTTACAAAAGACAGAGAGCGAGAGAAAGAGAGGGAGGAGGGCTAGTGTAGACAAATAGAATATTTCTCTTATTTATCACTCTAATTTTTTTCTCTAATGTTTGGCTGATTGGCGAAACTGTGCATAATATAGCAAACTAAAAAAAAAATGTTTTTATAGTGGAAAAAAAATTCCCAATTTTTGCTTTCTTTTCAAATTTAGATAAATTTTATCCATTGGTTTGAACAATAAGACTTATAATATTATGAATGAACTAGGGGGCTAAGCCCCCAGTTCGCTGCCGCTCAATAAACTCCGATGATTGCTTCGCAATATTTGTCTTTTCTTGGCAGAAAACAGTTTTTCTACTAAGGTTAAAATTATTGCCTTAACGTGTACATACTAAAAAGAATTCTGTTTGCTTACGCTTGTGCCTCTACTTCCCACATCCAGATATTACTGTCTATTAGTATTAAAAATATTTAGATCTCTTGGTGAACAGAAGTGATTTTTCGAAGTAATCATTTTTCAAAATAGCATTTATATTCTTATAACATTAGATTATACAAACAAATTTGATGAGTTCACAACCATAATTTAATATTTTCGCTAATAATAGCAGTACTGGAAAATAACCTTAAATTAGGGATGCAAAAATATTTAAAGGAAAAAAATACCTATGCGACTTTTGTTAATTTTATGCTGATGACAACCAAAACAATATTGAAATGAATGAGGAAAAACTGGATCCTACCTCGTGATTTTCAGGCCAATAGAAATGCACGGACAACAATGGAAAACTCTGACATTATTATTAGACATATTTAAGGCTCCTATGCTATCAGAGCTGACTTATCAAGCAATATTGGAGCAAACAGACATACTCAAAATAAAATAAAAATCGTCACTCAGCTTTAGCTGGTAAGTTTAGTCGTAACATTTTAGCAAGCAGCATTATTAAAAACTATTACCTTTTTACACACAAGCGTTCTCAATTTTAATTGGCTGTTTTCAGCTTTAGTCTTCTGTGATTGGCTATTTGTTATCATTTCACTCTCTTCATTAAAGATATGCTTATTACATACGCAGCCTTCCCTTCAATGAATGAATAATGAGTTTAAACGACATAATGACTGCACGGTGGACAAGTCAACAGACTTTTAATGGTAATGAATTTACATCAAAGCTAACAGAAATTTTCTTTCTCAAGATATATGGAGTCACTTTTCATGCAGATATTATATAGTGGCGCTCACAAATGATAGAACTATATTTTATATTCATTACAAATTATAAAAGTTTTCTGAAGAAACCTGATACACTATTTACATATTTACCCAGACAGAAATTGAAGATACGAACAATATTTATAATGCTAGTGTAATGACGACTAAGGTCATTTTAATTTTAATTTATCATTATCAAAAAATTAAAGAATTTCCTCGCACTATTATCAAGTCTTACATATATATATATTATGGTAGTAAAGTTTGTCGTAAATACGCCGTAGTACCACAAAAATTAAATAGCAGAACTAGCTACCACTTTAAATATTTAAGAAAATAAAAAAACATTCACAAGCGCTCAAGTAGAGGAAAAGTTGTAAATTTTGTGTTTGTTAAGGATTAATATAAATAACTATGAAGAGTTTTAGGATTAATCAGTGTATTTTTAGACTATATTAGCTCCATTTTGATTTTACTTGCTTTTTTAAATTAAATAGCATAAAATAAAAAAAAAAAACATATTTTGTGGCGTGTCCACACTAACCTCATGACATGGAGAAAAAAACTTTTCCTTTTTTAATAAAAAAGATTATTAGCAAAGTATGCATTTAAATTATTCTATCTATAATTTAAAATAAAGATAAATATTAAGATTTTATTGAAAAAAATACCAGATATTTTTAAAATAATGATTAGTATTTGAAAGAACAGTTTTCTCTAAACCCTTTTACATTTTGTTATGTATAATTGAGGTGGATTAGAAATTTAATTCAAGATTTATATAAAATGACAGGGTTTAAATAAATGTTAGAATCTTGAAATAATTTATTAGGGAGAAGGGGGTCAGAGAGAAGAGAAAAACGCTGCTATCAGAAAAATGAAATAGATATGTAATATAGAATGTCTCATACGAGTCTTTCTATATTAATTTATTGATAAAAATAAATTCTCTTTTCATTTTAAGAAGCAGAAATAGCCATAAAAAGTCAAAATCTCAATTAAAAGATTCTTTGCTGAAGTTAATGGGTATATGCTCAGTTCTTGTAAATATGCTCATGAATGAAATCTCAGAAATTTAATTTAGTCTACATAGCGTCATGTTTTTAATCCAATAAAGCTCTCTAAATTTTCCCGTTTGAATAACGTGTTAAGGATATTTTTGCAATCAATCCAGAATCCCTGTTTAAATAGCGGGAGTCATGGAAAAGGCTTTTTTATATTTTCATGACTAGAGAAATCTGTGCCAAATCCCAACATCTCTGTTATGGGAAACCATTGTCATCCGTGATAAAATCCAACGTAAGCTGTTGAATAAAATTTTTATAACTTAATAAGATGCGTATTTATTTGAAATAGCCAAAGTCTCTAGGATTATCTAGTCTTTGAAGGTATTTCATTACATGTATAGAAGGAGGATTTTAGTTTTTTTTAGAAGTAAGCAATTTTGGTGATTTTGTACTTACTTATACCTATATGAATTGCTCCTATGACGTCTAAGCTATTAGTGATGCAATAAGGTTTTATGCATGAATATGCTATGCAAGGGATATAAGTAGAACAAATTTCAATCATAAGGAAAAATAGGTTTACTTACAAAATAGTACACTTAGAAAGTCTGTGTTCTTTATCATTTGTGCTAAAACTGTTGCTGAAATATCTTCAATTTCATCTATATTCATCTGTTCTACGAGCCATTCCAGTACTTTCTCTTCATTGGATAAATCTCCTGAAATAAATTTATTAATACGATGAATCAATCACTTCTTAAAAATAATAATTATAAAAGACTAAAACTGTTTACTTAGTTATTGCTATTTGTCTTAAAGGATAATATTAGTTTTATATTTTTAAATTTAATAGAAATCCATTCTTTAAAAAAGTTTTATTCAACACGTTTAAAATATGTTCCCAAAGTTTTAAGACAATTGGATTAAAACTCCAGAAAATAAAGAAGCTTTAAAAACTGTGGCGTAAGATCGATCCAAATTTGGTGTTGAAAAATTCTAAAAATTGTGATTTATTTCAAGTAAATACTGAATCAAGCGTTCCTACATTCTTTAATGGGTGTTTTAAAATTTAAACTCCAATGTGAGTAAGCTTTTTCCAAGATTAGATGTATTTACTCTATTAATGAATTATTTTCGTTACTGTTGGTCTGCCTGTAGAAGCCGCCAAACGATCACTACAATCGAGCACGAGAACGGGAAAGTTTGTTTTTACCTCCCACGATGCTAAACATTGGGCAGAAATAGAAGTAAACTTCTATGAAAGGCATGTATGTTTTTATTTGTATATTAAAGGTAATTATATTCTCATCAGAGGATTTAAATGAAACTGTCAATTTTATTTAATCATTTTAAAATATTAATTTCTCACAGCATCAATTTTGTTAAGCCTAACTCGAATTCATATTAATATTGTGCGTATATTTATTGTGTGTATTAACAAGTATATTCATTGTGTGCATTGTAAGTATTAACAAGTTATAGTTTTTTTAAGAAATACTGTATAGATGAAATTCTAAATAAAAGATACTTGCTTTATTGTAAAAAACTTTACTGATTCTTATGTGCACCATATGAAATAACTGTAATGTTAAAGTTTAGTGAATGACAAAACTGGTAGCAACTACTTTACTCCAAGTGGTGAAAACGATCATATTTGCTTTTTGGAGTTGTGAAACACCTAAATCCAAGAGTTATTTGTGGCGTTTTACTTCAAAACTTTGGTGCAAAGTAGTTGCCTCCCTATTTGGTGTTGAAATGCACAAAAATTTTTTACTATGTAGGAACAGAAATAAAATTTTCTTAAATGAAGTCAATGGGAATTTTCTTAATAACGTAAAAAATTTACGTGGCTTCTTTTTGATAGAATTGACAGCTCTATTGGAAATTTGGAATTGTTCAAATTTGCTGAATATGGATCCAAGTTGAACCAATTGTTAAAACCATGATACTATGGTTCAATTTCAGTAAAATTATGGTTTTTGTTACCTTGCCAATGCAGCAAATTTATATTGCATTATGGTTTATCATTGGATATATTTTTTTGTGATAGTAGATATCGTACGAATAATAGTTTTTCTTTGAACGCCACTCATTTTAAGCAGCAACATATGGTTTAAGGTCTACAATATACAAATATCGTACAAATTGTGTACAAACATAATGTGCAAATATTTAAGCGTAATATTTATATTGTACAAATATTTTACCTAAAGGGGGAAAAAGTTTTATTTTTCAGTTTAATATTGTTAATAACTTCGAATTTTTTCCCTAAAGTTGTACTACATTTTATGCCAATAAAATACTCAAAATAAATGTACCTTGCTTACTAAAATTAAAATTGTTATAATTCAGTATCCGATAGTCTTGAAAAAGCATTAATAAATTGACGGGTGGTACGGATAAAACGTTCCAAAAGGTAGGTAATTTGTTTATATACGTCGCACTATGGCTGCACAATGGCCTACAGGCAATGGTTTGAGAAAAATCCTCGAGGATGACCCAAAGACCTGCTATCACAATTTTGATCCTCTCCAGAAAGGTTGCTCCCCTCCCCCGCTTTGGTAGCCCGACGATCAACGCGCGAAGTTGAGCACTTTACGGTAGAACAGTTTAACGAGGACCGATACCTCGCACCCTCGATCCTTACGCTGGCTGATCAAAGTGGTCACCCACCCGCTTACTGACCGCAGCCAATGATGCTTGACTTCGCTGTTCTACGGGGAACCCTGTCTTTACGATCAGTCCATTGCGGGACAATTAGTTCAAAAAGAAATTAGTAACTGTTTTTGAATAAAAAAGGCTAGAGTTTCGTGATTAAATGATAAAAAAAATATAATCGACCCCTTTTAGTAGTAACGACATTAATTCACCTTCATAGAATTTTGGAACCTGTTTCTTATAGAATCCAAGAGTGGGTGGGTTTTTAATGCCGTAAAGGGATTCCAATTGACTGTCATCGATTTTCACAAAAGGTATGTTATGCTGATCACAATCGTCATCTATTCCTTCCAATTCCTGAAGAATCGTCTGACTTGTATTACTGGAACTATCGTCTGCAAGTATAAGACAATGACATTTTACACCTTTCCTTACCAAATTATTTAACGAAAAAATAAACTAAAAAAATCATCACATATTTTTACTTCATTATTAAATATAATGAAGTGAAACTAAAAATAATGTAACCCTTTACTACGTTGAGTTAAAGTAAATTAATTTCTTTCAAAAGAATGTGCAGAGATAAAAAAAAAAGAGATTTAAGCATGCGACGCTCTTAAAAAAATGTTCTTTCTTTGTTCCGAAAAAATGTTCTGACTATTCGACTATTGACTATTGTGTTTGATTTCATAACTTAAAATATAATCTGCACAAATTATCATATTTAAGGTTACTCTTTCGTAAAATCAAGATTGAATCCCAGAATGTGAAGATCCGATTATCAGATCAAAAGTTATTCAGGGTGGTTTATTTTTTTAATTTTATGCACTGTTTATGTTACTATCAACTGCTTCCTAGAATGCCTGGCATTTATCGGTAAAGAATTAAACATGATAATAATTATTTACTCTGTGTGGGCTTTGCACAGAATGCATGCAGGTTTTTCATTCTATAGATTGCACGTAGGTTTGCTAATAGCCATTCAATCGATGTCTTATATTTTATTTTATAACCGTCGTTGAACAGCCCACCAAATTTTCAGTTTAGAACTACCCATTTTAAACTCCGTATTTTTGTAATTTTAAACCCACTCCAGAAGACCAGGGAACTGCTGGATCAAGCAATGGTCGAAATTTGCCTTCGTGGATGACTTTTCGATGAAACTAACCCGTATTTGTGTTACATGGAGAGGAAAACCACGGAAACCTCCCACGGTTAGCCTGACGGCAAGGGGACTCTAACCCTTGCCATATATAGATTTCTACATGATTCCTCTACCACTGATAATATTTTATGTCAGCACTGTGGCTGATACGAGTCGGGTGCGTTATTTAAATTCCCAAGCCATTACTGGGATTTGAACCCGATTCACCTCATTGGGAGGTGAGCACTCGATTCCCTGAACGGTTCTCAATAGATGTTTGAAAAAATATGCTTATGTGCTACTTTTCTAATGTAATGTTTTCCCAAAATCTGAAATTTGTAAGTTGGCTTATATCTGTTAAGTGCCTGTAAAATTTCGCCAAAGCAAAAAATCCCCCCAAAAAGCTGTCAATCAAAGCAGAATCTTTTCATCACCGATTAAAAACGAGATAAATCGTACTAACAATTATTTTACTCCACAGATTAGGGATCAAAACTTACAGAATAAGACGGCTAAGAAATCGGATGCTTTTATCATTTGAGACAACACTTTGTTTGTGACATCTTCAATCTCATCCGATTCTTTCTGATGAATCAACCATTTCAAAACTTCTTCTTCGTCAGACAGGTCACCTGTAATTTAGAAGCAATTATTGAAATAGGATACCAAAAGAAAAAAATAGGCGATATAGAGGGTAGAGACGTGGACATTGTTTTATAGATTTGTAAGAAAAGCATTACTTTGAGCGAAGTATTTCTTTAAAATTAAACTCTGCAGAGGTATCTTGATTTTGAATTAAACTAAAGCTAATTTGGATAAATGCATTTTTTAAAAATGCATTTTTTAAAGATGTTTTTTCCCACACTAGCCCCATGACATGCGGCTAGTGTAAACAGGTCACGAGGTTACTTGTGGACAAAGCATAAAACTATTTTATCTATTGTTTTTTATAAAAAAGTGAGTGAGATAAAAATGCTGTATAACTTCTATTTTTAGTGTTTTATTTTAACGATTTTATTCCAATTATTTTATTTTACTTAATTTTAAAACTTACTGTATGTATCGAAGTCAATAACTTTGTCCATTTTAAAGGACTACATCATATTCCCTACTAAACAACTTTAAAGGATATTCTGGAGTATTTGAAATGGTAACAAAAGTTATGCTCTACCATTTTATTTTTTATTAGGTAAACTTGAATTGCAACGCTTTAAACTGGAGTGACTTATAATTTAAATACATTGATAAGACCTGATTAGTTTTTAAGTGAAAGAGATTGTGTAATGAAGCAATCATGACTTACAAATAATTTTTGCTAAGCTTTACGTTTAAATATTATAGAAATCTATAACGTCTAGTTTCTAAACTAGGTAAGTACTAATATATTATTGATAATTTAACTAGTATATTACAGTTATAACAAAATTATTTTAAAGAAAAGTGACATATTTAAAATTCTATTTTTTATATTTATTTAGTAGAAATAAATTTAATTTCAAGTATTCATAGTATTGGTGTAATAAGACGTGAGGGGTTGTTTTTAATGAACAGGTTACTATCTGAAACTATATATCTGTTATGTATATAGTTTCAGATTGTAACTATGTATCTGCTGCAAGAAAATGTATCTTTACAAAATTTGTTAAATTATCGGTTACTTTCTGTACCTGTTACAGAAATTGTTATTTTGTTGTACATGTGAAAAAAATATCAGTTCTTGACCATAATAGAATAAACAGCTATAATACATAAGTTATCATCTTGAATTAGTTTTAGATACTGATGCTGCATTCTGTGTTTTCGTTTATTGGAAAAAAAACGTATTCATTTCAATATGCTGCTTTAAAAAAGCTTTCATTGACTAACCCATACTAGCAATCAGTACTATTGTTATACAGAAGCACGAAGTCATTTTTTTAACAATCACATAGATATGCGTTTTTTTCTCATTTTGTTTTGTATTTAGAACTGCTCAAGCACCCATTACACATTCTTTGAATAAGCCAAAAAATAAGCTTTTGTTTCTAGTAATGAGGTTTTGTCGTATCACTTAGCATTTTGTAACTGATCTTGAAAAGTAGAATGTAATTGTTTTCATGCCCAAAATTCCGCAACAATTACGAAATAATGTTTCATAAACAGTTTTATGAAATGTTCTACATCATACAAGTTCTGCAACAGTTAGGTTCTCGATTTTATTTGATTTGTTTTATAAATTTATAGTGAAAGTAATAAAAATTATTATAAATGTATAATATTTTTTTTAAAAATTAGCTAGTACTTAATGCAAAACTACAAGATGTTTATGTATGTATCTCTAAATTGTTTTATATGTCATGATATCCATATTTTTTGAAATCACATTTGTAAATCTTAAAATATGCATTTTGCTATAAAAATTATTTGGGTTAAAATGGAAAAATTGATCGTTAGCTATGCAATAAGCTATATTTTTTATATTCTTTAATGTTAAATTTGTTATTGAAATTTAAAAAAATTAACGTTAAAACTCAAAGAAATGCATATTTTAGTAAACAACAGGTTGCGCTGTGGCGTTGTTTGATAAAGCATCGCCAACTGTCTTTCGAGTTTGCGTGATCACTTCAGCAGAAAAACTAACGCAACCAACTACTGTTCGGAAATATGCCCAATACAATTTACAAAACTCACTAAACATTGAAAAACTTGAGGGAGAAAGAGGGGAATCTTTGTAGAAAGGATGGGCAAATTAAAACACATACCCTGAAAGAAGTTGGGCATCCTTTTTTCAAAGTACACCAGTGTAGGAAAATCCTGTATTCCATACTGTGCAGCGACATCCAGATCAGAAATTTTGACAAAAGGAATCCCATTTTTGCTTGCATCATCATCTATGGCTTCCAATTCTAATAATGTCGTTTGACTCTCAGCATCAGTGGCGTCATCTGGATTCAATGAGCATGGAAGAGGATACATAATTTATCAAAAGAATAACATTGTAATGGTAATACTGTAAGCGTAAAAATATTACTTCAAAGTCATATTTTCTGAATTAAGCATCTATTAGTCTTTAACTTTTTAAAAAACACAAACTTACTGTCCAATTATAAATTCAAAAGTATTTGCTTAAAAAGGGATGACAAATATAAAACAATAGTTGAAATTTTGTTAAACTTCCCATTTCCACAATATATTATTTGTCAAAGAAAAAGAAATATATTTATTATGATGTCAGCCTCAAAAGATTATTGCAGCTTTCAAGAAGGTGGCTCTTTAGGCATGGTGGCTCTTAAATGCATGATGCCTTAATGAAGCATGGTCTTAATGCAACTCTTCAATGATTGATTATAGTTATAAAGAATTTAAGATGAAAATTTATACTTTTACACAGCATTTTATGGGAAACTTTTTATTGTAGTTGCAGAGTGACTGAAAATGATAGGCGCGAGCATAAGGTCAAGAATCCTGGCATTAATCAGTAGTGTGAAAAGTGTGTGATGTATACTCACAGAAGAGGACGGCTAAAAACGTTGTGTTTTCTATCAGTTTGGGCAGAATGTTACTGGATACATCTTCTATGACATCAGAATCTAAATCTTTATGAGCTTCCAGCCAACTCAAAACAACTTTTTCGTCATGGAGATTTCCTGAAATAAAGAAAGCGAATGCATGAATATTCAATGAATGAGTGGTTTAACAAAGCTGTGAATGGATGAATAAATCAGCTAATCAATGAATGAGTAACAGGAAGAAATGGCGAATGGATGAATGAATGAATCAAATGTCAATGAATCAGAAAATGAATGTACCAGCCCATTCCGTTAATGCGTTGATTCTTTCATTCGTGGATTTGTAAAGATGCCACTGAGCCCAATTTTTTGCTGATAGGATGTCTCGTTCATTCAATGTGTCACTAAATCATACATTAAGTCGTTTATTAAAAAGCTGACGAATGGATACACTGATTCGTTTATTTATTGAGTTACTAATTCGTTCCTAGTTCATTCGTTAGTTCATTGACTTGCATATTCAATGAATTGTTGATTCTTTAAATCATAAATTAACTCATTTATCCATTTTCTATTTCATTGATACGCTGTTTCATTGATTTTGGTGATTCTTCGATTTATGGATTGATTCTTTGATTTGCTATACGACTCATTTGCGTACTTCGGTTTCTTAATCGTACATGAGGCAGCACACGTTTTTACCGAAATTGGTAGTAAAGAGTTGAAATAACATTAGAAATAATTTTGACCTCAAGTAAGAATGTGAATTCACGGATGCATCTAGAGTTTTGACTCTCAACTTTTTTGTGGTTATGGAAGCCTAGCTAATTGAGCTTACTAGTAATCTTAACTTTATTAGTAATCTTTATGAACTGGCAAAAAAAGGACAACTAATTATTTTCGAAATATTTGAGGTGGAGAATGATATATTTTAAATCATGAATTTGCTCTTGGTGGTTGTGTGCATGCGCTGAAAATGAATAAAGTCAACTGAATGACAGTTTTCAAAATGGAACTGTCACAAACGTTGAGAATAGCTATCAAAGAAATGTATTTCTTTAGTCATAAATTTAGTTATTTTATTTTGAATTGAAAAGCTTAATAGGAAATATTTATGAAACATTTTGTAATCGCACATCCTCGATATTATTGATTAAAGATGTACATATTGATCTTGAATTTTTAAAAAAAATTTTGCTACTTCCTTTTTTTGTTGGAATTTCATTATTTTAAATAAACCGAAAGAAATGTTGAATAAATTATGAATAAATATTTGGATATTGCTGGTTTAAGAAAATCCGAACTCTTGGAACCTGTGTGATTTCCAGGGTTACACAGAACATCTTTCGGGAAACGCTCTTGCATTTTTAATAGTATGAATTTCGACTATAATTAAAATGTACAGAGTGTTTCAAAATAGCATGGGGCATAATAAAAGGTTATGGATCTGGCACATAAAAAGAAAGTCAATGTAGGAACATTAAGTAGCAAACGCTTTCCGGAGGTGACAAATTATACTCAATAAGCAAAGACAATTGAGATTTTTGCAAAGAGCTTGTTAACCGATATTCTAATCTTATTTTCTTCTCTTTTGAGTTACAGTGATTTGAAGGGAAATATTTTTGCTTTATCGCTGAGAAGCTCAATTAGTGTTAACGAAACATTTGCACGAGCGATTAAATTTCAAAGTCGCCGGATCTCGCTGTGGGTCGAAAATGACATGACTTCTGGTGGGAAGGGAGATGGTTTGTTGTATCGGCTGCAGTTGACGCGATTTTCATTTAAACAAGTTATTGATTCTCTTTATTCTTATCTAATAAATTTTTTATTGATTTCATTACTGTCTCAAGATGCGTAACTACATCAATTTTTATGTGTGTCTTTAATCTAATATTTGAACAAAAAAAAATTATCCAAAAAAGAAAGGGCTGTTCAATAGAAAACAATAATTCTATTTACTTAATTTTAGAAAGACACTGATGGCAAGAAAAACAGTAACGGTTCTACTCAAATTAAGTTTTTAAAAGACCTGATAAGTAATTAAAATAAATAATGTGGCAGTAGATAGTGCTTTGCTTTTGTCACATATGTTTCTAATGTATAATGCATTCAGTCATTAAATATTTCTTTTAACTATTAAAACTGTGCAAAATAAAATTAAAAAAACCATTCGCATAATTTTTAGATAAATTCTATAGAGCGAAAGTCATGAAAATGAAGCTTAATATACTGATATCACATTAACATTTGCAGATACAGAGCACACGTAAAAACAAAATCTGCAGCCATAATCATATAAACTCCAGCTAATACATACCCTCTCCCTTCCCACCCATAATGATGACATTTTCGACCAATAGTGTGATTCGGCAACTTTGAAATTGAATCGCTAGTACGTTAACTATTTGCAAAATATCCCTAATAAACATAAATAGTTCTGAATCTTTTTATTTTTACTATATTTAACGTTTACAGCCCGTAGAGGTGACAAGTTTGATTGTCAAAGTTTTATCCAAGCTTCTGAAGACATGCTGTTGCATTGAATTTCCTATCACTTCAAATACGTACTTCGAAAATAGGAAGATTTCGAAAATTTACGTTAGATTCTATACGCTTCCGTCCGTACGATTGAAGAAACTACGCATGCTCTCGTTTATTTTATATGCTAGATATCTTTATCTTATTTTGGCGTGATTTACGTTACAAAGACTAAGCTAAAAGCACGCTGCTTATAGCTGTTAAATGTTGTTTTCTGTGTTTAAGCCTATACCTTCGAGCTAAAAACATGGACACGGAATGCGAATTTGAAGAAATGTTATTGATGAAATGTATTGATGAAATTTAGAAATAAATAGTGGGATTTTACAACCATTGGTTCATCCAATAAAAAAAATAATTGTATAGGTTTTTGTTTAACATTATGGTTGTCTAGTTCCACAAGAAACTAGATATATTTTTGCTATTTAAAATTTATAAATTATACTTAATTTAACTGTACAATTTAGTTAAAATAAGTTGAATACTCAAAAGAAGTTTGATAATATTTTTTAAAATAGTAATAATAATAAGCTGCATTCTTTATAGCTGAATTCACCAGAATTTCCCAATTTTTTCTGCTCACAGATTCGCAGTTTTTCTTAGAGCATGAATCGTATGCCGCAGGTAGTCTACATCCATTTGTTTTGATTTTGCGGTCAAAGTTAAATTGATATTCCACTACGTTAGCGTTTTTAAATTTCGGATTTTTGCGAAATCTTTTATTTTCTCTTGCGTAAATTTGATATTTTGTCACGGGCGCAAGTGCATTTCTCCAGAACTGACGCATGCGCACTAGAAGTGTGCATGTGCAATTACTTCTAAATCTTACGTACGGGAGAGTACGGAAGCTAACGTAAATTTAAGAAATCTTCCTAATATTTCATGTACGGGTCTTAAGGGGAAAAAGCACGTTTCATGGAAAATTCTCTATAAGTAACATAAAATTTAAAGTTTCGAGAAATGTGAGATCAAGCAAACTTAGAGAAAACATGAAGTTTCAAATGTTAAAAAAAAATTTAATATCAAAAGATAAATAAATTATATTAGGATCACGATGGGGAAGTTATTCTGTAACAGTTTGTCTGCATTTTTAAATTTCGAAAATTTTTTAGCATATGAATCCAGATTAACCCTTTTTATGAACTTTAAATTTTATATGATTTATGTGGGCGTAAAACAATTGGCCATTAAAGGTCTCTTCTGTGGAATAGCACCCTCTTTAGTGAGTATAATATGCATGAAAATACATTAAAAATGAAATATTTTGTACTTGATGTTTGCATTGCACTGCATAATATAAATTTTATATAGTTACTTTTCAGGTTTTAAGATATGTACCAGAGTTGTTTTTTAAGGAAGTGCCGTTTCGTCATGTATACTAATAGGTGATGCGTACATCGCAACAATTGCTTGTGTCGTGTCCCGGCATTCCTTGCAAACATCGGTGCTTAGTTGTGGCTGTGTAGGTAAATTGTACTGTCAGTTCCGTGTCTTTAAAATGTTGTAATTTAACAAATCGTCCGCCGAGTACAAGATGATATGACAATGACTCTCTCCGTAATTTATTGGACTCTTTTCCGGTTATTGGACTCTTTTGGTTGGGAAGTTTTAGACCACCCCTCCCTATAATCCAGATCTTGTGATCAGTGATTTTCATCTTTTCCGATATCTCAAACATCATTTTGGGGGAAGTCGATGTGAAAACAGTCGTGACCTCTTGGCTAACGGGGCAGAAGACAAGTTTGTATGATTCCAAATCTTGTTGTAAGGTATGATAAGTGTTTAAAAAACTTGGCATCTGTGCTGAAAAAGAGGAGAAACGTATGTGGAATCTGAAAATAAATTTGATCCTTGAAAATTTTCTTTCGGGTGGTTTTTATTTTCATACGGCCCTTACTTATAATACAACCCTCGTATATAACTAGAGATACTTTAACCATTGAAACGTCATTGTTCCTATTTTGGAGAATGTCCTTCGCTAAAGATTAGTATCCTAACTATTTTATTGTTAACATTTATCTTGGATAAGCAAGACATTCGTCTTTATCAAAAATACTTATGCTATAAATATCTGTTACATATTCGAAAAAAAGAAATTCTTATACTTTCTAACCTGGCTAACGAAATGAAATGGCTGCTTAATTTAATCATAAATGTGCTACCATTCTTTCTACTATGTTACTGTTCTCTCTATTGTAAAATGTTAGCTTGCCAGGTAAACGGTTATAATTAAAAAAAAAATTTAAAAAAGGAGAGAAAAAAGAAAAGAAAAAAACGTGAGATGAAGCAAAGAAAAATATTCAAAGTGCCATTTGTAATTCAATCATGAGAAAAAAAATTTAAGACTTATCTCACCCTTTTATAAAAGAAACATAAAATTTTGACATTCTTATTTTATTTTTAAAGAGATGACAATTTTGAAGTTTTTTAAAAGCGAAATTTTTTAAAGTTTTTGTATCATTGTCATCTTGAATGAGAAAAACGAACTCCTTACCGTCATACAGGAGAGGAACTTTATTTCGGTAGTAGAGAAGAGCAGGCAGGCTCTCTAATCCGAATTCCAGGGCCAGTACTTCGTCGCTCACTTTGACGAATGCGATTCCATCTTTATCAGCCTCATCGTCTATCTCCTCCAGATCATGAAGAACTGCGCTGCTTTCTGCCGAATCATTCTTATCTGTGTGTTTCAAACATGAACATGCATGAGTAGTCGATCACAATTAGAAAAGTTTCATTTTACACATTCGAACAAGGCATCAAATGTATGTGCATTGGATTACAAGGGCGAAACAGTCAGCCAATGCGAATGTACGGTAAACGTGGTACAGTGAAACCTCTCGAGAGCGACCACTCTCAGTTCTACAGGGAAATGGCCGTTGATGGAGGTGGATCGTTCTTAGAGGTTGTCTCCATAGACTTCAAAAATGTTATCGAACGTACATGATTTTTCGAAAACGATTTTAATTTTAGTCGGCGTCATTTACTTGGTGCGGAAATGCCACTTGTCTTGGCTTCGTGAAAAGACGTATCGATGAATAAAATGTAGCGTCTGTAGCGTCTCAAAACTGATATAATTATGCGTAAAATAAATTTACCAATGATTTGGCAATATAGTTTATTTTGATTTGGTTATTCTAACTGTAACTTTATTTTTCTTACATGTGGGCATATCATTAATAGGTTTTACTTTATGTACTTTTAAATTATGTTTGTTTGTCATTAATTTTTCTTTGCATTCAAATTTAAATTTTTCTTATTGCTTTTTTCATTTCTTTATCCATTATGGGGCCACTATAAATTTTTGGTTTTACCACTGATAACAGACAGATTCTTGTGTGTTGGCAGGCAGTGTGTCCCTTGAAGCTGTCTTGCTAACACACATATCTTATATTTTATTCGTTCTATGCTTGAATTTCTGACTTTCTACATTGACATGAAAGAATACTCACAGAAGAGAACGGCCACAAATTCTGTCTCGTCTATAATACTCTGAAGGACTTTGGCGTTCACTTCCTCTATGGCATCCGGTATTTCAAGTGAATCAATATTAGTCAGCCACGCTAACACATTGTCTTCATTCATCAAGTCACCTGAAAACATACACTATGTTGATTCCTTTACAAAACAAAGCAATCATAAAATAGACACATATTTTAATTCATTTAAAAACTGTAGTGTAGAAATATCTTTGAATATGGATTTGAACAACCAAAGAAGAAGCGCTTTATTTCAAGTTAACACCAAAATGAAACACTCTTTAAAGATAGTTAAACAAACACCCATAAGGGAGAAATCTCCCCACGTGAATTATTTTGCTTCATAAAATACCAATTTTGGCACACTTTGAATATTGCCACTACAAGGATACCTCAGACGACTAAAAAAAGTAAAAAGTGATAAATAATAAAATACAGAATTTTGTTAATTTATAAAGATAACCCGTTTTTTATAGCACAATTTTCAGTTAACTATTAAATTTGAAAGCTTTACTTACTTTATTTATAAAAAATTGGGCACCTGGGCCGCGTAGCTACCCCTATCCCATACATCTAGAAATTTACATAAGTTTAAAGTGATAAAATTTTGAATTTAGCAGTCGATGTGGTTGCTAATACAAAATTACAAGTACTCTGCTTGGGTAAATAAACAATTGAATATCGAAACTAAATTTACACATATAAATATAAGCATATAAACATAAACATAATTTGAAATATACATACATACATAGTAATACATAGGTAATACATAATACGTAGGTTGACATAAATAAATATAGTAAATATAACATTTGAATATCGAATCAAAATTGACATTTGTTGACATATATAAATATAAGCGAAATATTGTTCATTAAATACAATAGAATTTGCAAAAGAATTTAACGTGCATAAGTTGATAAATATATATGCATAAACTGGCTATATTATCAGAAAATAAAATTTGATGTAATTTAATTTAACATAAGTCAAAGCCTACTGTGAAAAGTTCAGTGAATTTAACTTGAGAGTCTTGAAAATAAAAATAGAACTCACTGGGATTGAGATGTAAATTTGAAAGCTATAACTTTTATATTAAATATGAATAATTTGAAATGTAAGTCATAATGGTAGTTGCTATTGAATATTTAGAGATAATAAATGAATAAAAGGGAAGTGAGTTTCTACCACTTTTTACATTTTTAGTCGCCTGTGGCAGCAATGCCAGTACATTGTTTACAATGGAGTACGAATTTGTTGTTCTCTTACACGCTGAAAAACATCTAGAGAAACAAAAGTAAAGGGTAATTTTATTTTAATTTTTATATCTCTCTCATCTGTTCAGTGAGTTTAACTTATATATATATATGCATATACAGGGTGTCTCAGTTGAGCGTTTCAAAACTTCTAAGAGGGGTAGGGGGCATCCTGACGACTCGAAATCATATAGCAATGTGGGGTCGGAAATGCTTTCCTGAAGCGGTGACGTACACAGAAGCACCATAAAGAAAAGATCGTAAGTGAAAAATCGCTATAATAATATATTGAAAAAATTATATGGTACATGGGCCAAAGTAAGTGTTCGAAGTTTCTGCCACCGGCTACAATGTACACCTCACATCTCCGGCGCATGAACATTCTGCAATACTCCAGGCATATCTCGCAGGCAGCTACTGCGATTCTTGCAACCAGCATTATCAACAGGGTGTCATAAACCAGTGTTTTCATATGACTCCAGAAATCAAGACATGATAGGTCGGGTGACCGAGGAGACCATGTAATTTTCTCGATGTATTATTATAGCGATTTTTCACTTACGGTCTCTTTTCTTTATGGTGCTTCTGTGTACGTCACAGCTTCAGGAAAGCATTTCCGACCCCACATTGCAATGATTTCGAGTCGTCAGGATGCCCCCTACCCCTCTTAGAAGTTCTGAAACGTTTAACTGAGACACCCTGCATATATATAAATATATATATATATGAAACAAAATATTATAAATTATAGCCTTAACTATAAACTGAATTCAAAATTTTTGCTTGTTAAAATAAATAGACTGCCACAATCTAATTTTTTGCAGGACGTTGTAACCACTAAGTAGTTTGAATCTGTTACCTGATTGAAAATTTCAATCACTTAAAAAATATGTAAATAGGAAATAGCAGTCAGCATGCTCCAAGTGCTCAAAAACAGGATCTTATTTTTAAGACTTGCCAGACGTGAATGAGAAGAGACGAAAATGACTTGAAATAAAAAAAACGAAAAATTGCCTACGAAAAATGGAAAAATAAAGGTGAGAAGCAAAATTAGAAAAAAATTCAGCAGCCGAGAGAGAAAAAAGATGAAACAAGGAAAATCACAGTGGCCGAGAGAGACGAATCAGGGTAAAATGCATTTCCGCCCGCTATGGAGAGAAGTTGAGCAACTAATGTCGCTAAAAAAGAAATCAACATTCATGTGAAGTAAATAAGATTAAAATGCATCAAGATGAGCTGATGTGACTGAGGTTGGAAAAGTTCTCGTATTGTGGAAATTATATTTATGCCCAAGATTCTAACAATGTTCAGTAATTAAAGATATCTCTTATTCTTGAAAACGGACAAATTTATCGTGTTTTTATTTAAATAGCTCCTATCTGTTTCACTGATTAACGAAAACATAATTTTGCCTATTGTTAGTTTTGTGAATAATAATTTGCTTATAATTTTAAAAATATGAATAATTCATAAATAGGAATTCTGACAGCAAACTATAATTTTTCAATGACTTTCAAAATTTAGTTTTTCAAATCGTATAGAAATTTTTGATACTTGTAAAAAATTCTATCGGGACTCATTCTACAATTTTTAAATTAACTTTCGATTAATAATTGAGTACTAATGAATATGTTTTGAGAAAGAAAATGTATACCTGAACGTAAAAATGAAGATTTTTACAAGATTACAACGTCTGAAATTTTTTGAAAAGTTTGAATCACTGGAATAAGATTAAAAAAATCAATGTTCACTAAAAAAATTGTGTTGAAGAATTTTTTTTCAATTAAAATTAATTTAAACTATTATTTAGAGGGACGAAACGAAGTGTCAAGTAGATGATTCAAACGTTTATTTTGTTTTCACATTAATTAGACGATTGACAAGATTTCAGTACGTTTTAAATAAAGATTTCGAGTAACGAAGTACAATGGTTTGGGATTCTTTTAAGAAATCAAACGAAACTTTGTATTTAAGATATTTTGATTTTGCAGAGTATCCAGATACTTTTCTCGAAGATCTTGTAAGAATAATATTCATGGATAACAATGGATCGATTCAGAAAAGCTGATTTGTTAAAATATTGAGATGGATTCCCCGCCAAAGTCAATATTGCGAAAGATCATTTAATCCATAACCTAATCTTAAGGGCTGAAAATTTCGTTTTGGGTATTTAAGTTTGTCGTAGTGTTGTAACAAAATACTCACTACAAATCACTTCCAGATAGAAAACAAATTTCCTGACAGTAATTAATTACTTTTTTCCGTAACATTTTTATTATTATCTTTCATAAAATGTAAGGTAATTAGGAGCAAATAATGTGAATAATACTCTATATATAGTTCTAATAAAGGTAATTAATTATATGGAATACTTGATTACCTTATTTTTAATAAAAATTGGATCCTTCTTAGAGAGATCAGATGGTTCTCGTGCATATGCGTAACAAGGTTTGGTGTCACACGTTTCACGCATTACTGCGTGTTAACCAACTCATCATATCTCATTGATCTGAGAAGGATCAAATAACTACAAGAACTTTTAAAATATTGTAAAATAATATAATTTGTTTTAACTGGTAGGTAAAATTTATATATTTATTATTTATAATAGTTTTGAATTTTCTTTCGGAATAATTCTTTCAAATATTATATATTTCATATAAATAAACGAAATTGCTTTAATCATATTTTGGGACCACACTTAAGAAACAGATTAAGATACATATAAACTTTTAGCGCTATGAAAACCCGGAATTTTCAAAGAAGAAAAAAGTATTCCATGCTATCCTATCTAAGAGGGCGTTTCCTAAGTAACTTAGTTACGCCCACTTAACATTCGAGTGAACTTCGCTTTATATTGAAGTACAGTTTCCAACTTAGATAAAATCAGTTGCTTTTTAGAATCACAGCTTCAAAAATGGATCATGCAGTATGACAACACACCAAAGAAATCTATTACTACTGTTTTTATAAAATTAAGTTTTTGCACCTGCTTAAAAAGAATTGAAGGCACCTGAATTACAGATTTTATTCTGCTCCGGGGAACAAAAGTACAGAATGACTATTTTTAAAGAAAAAAGAAAAGTAAAAAAATCCTAATAAAACTGTCTTATAAATTTCGATAAGTTATGGTTGCAAAGCCTGTCAATATTTAATGCCAATGATCAGCACTAAATCAATAAGGTAAATGTATTTTTAAAGGGTTCAATATTTTTAAAATGAATTTTACAGCACGGCTAAAGGAATATTGAAAGTTACAAGCCTTTTTGTAACCATGTTAAATTTTAAATTTTGCATATCAACCGAATAAAATATAATAAAACCATTCTGCTAAAAAAAGAAATGTATCTCAAATTTAATAAAAGTGTGAGATGTAAATTAAGTAAGAATGAAAAATAATTGAAGTATCGATTTATCTTTTAGTGTATTTGTAAAGTTTAACTTAGAAATTTTTCCCCTTAAGCGTCGATATTACGATTAATAAAATTAGCTATTTTATGAAATCAAATATTCTCTGATTTTAATAGACAGCAGGCAATGTGTACAATACAAATAGAATTTTCAGAACCAACTGTTGTTGTTGTTATCGTAAGCCATTAAGGTAAGGAGTGTTATTGTTCTTGTTTTCCAGTGGCACCATCTATTGGCCGAGAATTCGACTTCTGTCACACCCATTTATAGGACGAATCTATTCCTACTTCTATCCATTCATCCAAAGATCGAAATTAGATCTTACATGAAAATACAAAATTAGCTAGCACTTCTGCCATTCTCATACTACCCACTATACCTACTGCTACCATTCCATTCGCCCAAGGCCACCAACACCGATGGGAGTTGAGGTGTCTGCCTCGCGGACAGATACTGTGAATTCAAATCAAACCAATCAGCACGCAAGCTAGTATTTATACAAGGACTGTTTTTTAAGTTAGGGCTGCTTCTTTGTATACACTTAAAGGTGACGCGTGCTTCACAACGAGTGCTTGCGTCGTGTCCTGTAATTCCTTGGGAACAACAGTTATAGCTCTGAAGGCAACCTGTACTGTTTTAAAATGTTCAAGTTTAACAAATTGCCCTCCGCGTATGAGGTACGGTCAGTGACGCATTTTTAGTCGACAAAAAAATCAGTCTGCTGCATGCATTCACCGGCTGACAGGAAATTTTGCTGCTTTATGACTAATAATCTCTCCACAGCTCAGTTCCGAGTTTTATTGGACTGTTCTGACTGGGAAGTTTCGGACCACCCCTCAATACAGCCCCGACCTTCCGCTAAGTAATTTTCATCTTTTCCGATATTTCAAACATTAGTTTGAGGCAAGCAGCAGAACGATGACGTGAAACCAGCCATGATCTCTTGGTAATCGGAGTAGGCGACAAGTCGCCATGAAAAGTGTATTCTAAATCTAGTTGTAAGGTGTTTAAGCAAACTTGGCAACTATTTTGAAAAAAAAAAGGAGAAACGAATGTAGAATCAAAAAATTAAATTTGCTTCATGAAAATTTTCTTTCGTTTGGATTTTATTTTCAAACAGCCATTACTTAAAAAGAAAACAGCCCTCATATTTTGAAACCCAAGCGGAAACTAACTAATTATTTGTAGTTATTTCAATGGAAGAGAAACAGTTATTCATCACTGAAATTTATTTAATTTACAAAATCAATTGTTGATAATTTTTTAAATGTGAATGAAATTTTTTTTTTACAAGCAACTTTTTTTAAAATTTAATAATATTTAAGAACACAAATATATCTACGATAATCTAACAGAACTTTTTAGAAATATATATATATNTCTTTTGGCCAAATGTTTGTCGCCATTTTTGACAAACTGGACTCCGAAGTTTTCAGCATCATCATCTATTTTCTCCAATTCTTCTAAAATTTTGTGACATTCTTTACACACATCAGAGTCTGTAAAAAGGAACATAATTAAAGATTTACTTATATTTAAAGTAAATTTCATCATAAATTTATGTTCAGTTCGGAATAAGAAAAAAAAAAAAAAAAAAAAAACGAAGCATCTTGGGCAAAACGTTTGATCTAATGATCGGCTTTCCTCTTACTAGAATTCAATCTTAATGAATCGTGGATTTTACCTAAAATATGCTAATTAATGAGTGCGGGCGAAATTCTTCTAAATTACAAAATCAGACACAAAAGAGTTAAACAATAAACATGCCTTTTTCCCCCATGGATTTATATTCCTGATCTTCAAAATATGGGGGATAGCCGCAATTTGGGAATTAGGGTTCCAATAGTTTAGTCGAGAGAGTTTTTGAAAACTTTGACCTCTTTATATTAATTTTATTTTTTAGGTATTTTCTCATATTTCAAAAGCTTTTTTATCGAATTGAAATTTTTTTAATCACAATTATAAAACTCAATTATCCAAAGATAATTCACTGAAAAAATGTAACTTATAATGAATATTCATTATTTTTTATTATTTTATTTAATAATAATCGAAGAATTTTAAATTATAAGGCATACAAATTATATCAATTTAAAGGATATAATTTTTGTATGTCAAAATTTTGGATATTCAAAATTTGAACGAAATGGGTCAAATAGTTCGTGAAAAATCAGATCAGCGGGTTAAAAGTCATTCAAACTGTTCTCCTTTCTTCTCCGTTGTGTAAATTTCATAACTATAATCGTTTTTTCTTTTTGTTAAACTTCCTATAAACATTTTCAAACAAATCAGTGCTTTTATTCTTCGTTAAATTCAATGATTATTTTTCTATTTTGATTTATTTTTATACTTATAAAGTCATCGTTGTTTTACGTATGGGGCAGCAAAAGTCACCTACGAAATTATGGATGTGAATAATTGCAGACAGTAAAGTAGTATAACAATCAACAGATGAGTATGGAGGCGGCAATTATAGGATGGGAGTGGTCGAGTCGAGGTAGCATCATTTTAGTATTAAGAAAATTTTGGCCGTATGAGATACATTCTAATTTTATTATGAAGGGATACCTGAAAAATAAAAAAATTTATTTGAGAAAATTGATTTATTACGTGAAGAATACGGCCACACTTATATAGAAATATTGAAATAAAGAAAGAAAGTGCCTCAGAGAGATGAAGCGAATCAACTGCTCACTGATCAAAAATTCAACTGTTGGGACTGAGAGGATGAAGCTTCTCCCCTTCCCTCTCCGATCGCCAAGAATTGAAAATTAAAAGTAAATGAATTGTCTCAACGGACAGTTAGGAGCATGGGAGGAGATCCACGGTTGGCAATTCATGGAAAAATAACGTAGCCAAAAATACAGCCAACCCCCCTTTATCAATATTAAATTTGTAAATAATTTGGCCGAAAGCGAATCGCCAAAAGGAGTGAGAGAATGCAACTGAAACATTTTTGTGGTAAGAAATAAAGAGTTACAAATAGATTTTCTTTTCGGTTTAGTTGTGGCACTTGTATTGGAATCGAAATTTAGCCTTTACATTGATTGTTAAGAAAAGAATAAAATATTCTTATTAGCTTCTTATAAAATATAATAAAAATTAAATAATTGGTTTAATTTAATGAAAATTCGATTAAGTATGATTAAAAAATAAGTTTAAATTAAGAAATTTTAAGAGCTAAGAAATATGTAATGCCTATTATGACATCACAATACTGTTTCTCCTTTTAACTCCACAACTGAACTCGAATCATGAAAGAAAAAAAAAATCCTGGAGCTTTCTAACGTAAGTTTAAGGTACATTTTGATAAATTTGGTCCATTAAAGCTAAATTTTGAGAAAGAGATATTTAAAAGTCAATTTTTCAGGAACTATTCGACCTATTTCGTTCAAATTTTGTATGTTGTCTTACAAAATTATATTCTTTAAAATAATGAAAAAATTTGGTTAACTTTAAATTTACAATTCTTTTGTTTATTATTAAATAAAATATTAAAAAATAATAAGTAATTCGTAAAATTATTTTTTTTTCGCGGAATTAGCATTGGATCTATAAACTTTATTATTGAATGCAAATTTTTTATTAAATATTACTCGAAATATGACGAGTTTCTCATAAAGTAAAATTAACATTAAAGGGTCAGAATTTTCACCAACTCTACTGTCCAAACTATTAGAACTCTATTTCTAAGATTGCGACTATCCCCTATACTTAGGACTCAGAAATGATTGCCCGGTGAAAACAGAAGGTTGGTGTATTCAGAGAAGGTAAATCTTGAATTATCAGCTACACTTGTAAGCTAATTAGCATTTATGACGTCACCCCCTCACGAACTGTTAAGATTTAGCCCTATTACGTGAAAATCCGATCATTAGACTGAAAGTTATTCAGAATGCTACGCTTCGTTTTTAGCTAACGTACATTTATTTTAACCTTTTGTTACGTTATCACCTTTGTTACCTTAACTAACATAGGCTAGATATAGAATTTTTGTCGTTGGTCATATTGAAGGCATCTTGTTTTGTTTATTTGTTTTTTAGCCACTGACATACTTTTGAAACTTTTTATGGTTGTCAAGAAAAAGTGTTACTGTTACATTTCATTACATTACATTTCATAATTTTATAACCGTCGTTGAACAGCTGACCAATTTCTTGGGTTTAGGACAACTAATGTTCAATTCCGTAGCCTTGTCATTTTTGAACCCAATAAAGAAGACAAGGGAATTCCTGAATCAAGTATAGGAAGAAAATTGTCTTTGAAGAGTTATGCTTTTTAATCGCATTTGCAGTAACCAGCATTTGTGTTACATTGAGTGAAAAACCACGAAAACCTTCAGTGGTTAGCCTGATGGCAAGGTGACTCTAACTCATGATCCATCTACCACTGAGAATATTTTACGTCTGTACTGTGGTCGGTGCAAGTCGGATGCGGAATTTGTATCGACCAGCCGTAGCCGTGATTTGAACCTGGTTCATCTCATTGGAAGGCTAGCGCTCTATCTCCTGAGCCATCGCTGCTCAAGTTGACACAAGTTTTACAATATATAATCAATCTTTAAAGTGAATGTTTTTGAATTGGCTGATGTCTTAAATTTAAAAACTGCTTAAGTAACCCCACGCTTCTCAAACCGCGCCAAAAGGAAGGGGGGAAGACAGCAACTTTTTACTCTTACTTTACTCAGAAATGTTTAAGGATGAAGATATCAAAAATGATAAACCGCATCCATAGTTTGAAGAGAAATCTTAGTCTCTCAAAGATTTGTCACTAGCATTTTTTTTCTTCGTACTTAGTCAGAAAAAGAGACAAACTGCAACTGTGACAGATGCTACGGATCAGAGAATTAACTCCTACGTGCATTATTATTTGTGTCGTCTGTCCTAAAATGTTTGCGTACTCATATTTTCCGCAGTTCATTACCAATGAGAGCTGAAAGCAAATTACAAATACAAAATAATCTTTCATTTATTTTCTGTGGGTCAGTAAATTTATGACTTTATTTTTGTTGTCTATCAATATTTAATGCTAAAATTATTCCTAATGCAGAAAGTTAAAGTTATATTATTAAGTAAAAACATCTTTTTAATTTGATCTAATGAAATGTTACATTGCCTATATAAAACGGGTAATAAAAGCAGGGAGGCATAATTTATAATAATCATAATTATATAATATACATATATTTATAATAATCATCATGAATAATAATAATGAATAAAAAAATTATAACTTAAAGAAATTATTACTTATTGAACTCTTAAAACTTATTTTAAGGGAGTAGCACTCCTTTAGACCTTGTATATTTGAAATAAATGTTTTTTTTGGGGCAAAATTTACTCACGAAAATACATTAAGGAAGAAAACGCGTGTAATTTAAAGAGGTTTGTTGCAGCGACTGAATTTAATAATAAATAAAAATGTTTATTCTCATTTTAACTTTATTTACATCTTCTTAAATTCATTAAAAAGATTTATTTTTACAATATTCTTCATACTTTTGAATTGATTTCGGAAGTTGTTTTTTCCACGAACTAAGGATTGTTTACCGTTTTTTCAGATTTCTTTATTACTAGATTGCTTGCCTTTTCACAAATTATTACAATGTTTTTCAAACCAAAATGTTACAAAAGAGTTAAAAGATTTTAGGTATATCCGGTTTGAACTTTATTGCCTTATGAAATGGTTTTAAAAACTTTAAGGAAAATATTTTCCCAATCTTTAACGCTTCTTTTTATTTTTTTATAATGAAAAAAAAATTAATAAGATTTTTACTGCTTAATGAAATGGTTTTAGAAATCACCAAAAAAAATTTTCTGTTTATGAAAATAATGTTTTTTAATGAGAAAAACCTTAATGAGACTTTTAAAACTAAAAATAACGGGATTTTTTTTCTGAAAATGTAACCGTTTTTTAAACTATCACATCATAAGACTTTCAGTCTCTTTGAATCGATGTAGGAAGATTCAGAAATAAGAGATAAGCGAAGAGAAAACAAGATGTAAAGCAAAATAAAATATCAAAACAAAGGCACTAAACAAAAAGAAAAGTGAACCTGCAAGGTTAGGAAAACTATAAATAACAACAAAAACGAGGGTAACTCTGAAGAGTTTTAAATTCTAAACTTTCATCAGTCTTCTTTTTCGGATAAATTCTTTCTATCGAACGAAAGAGTTTCTCTTAGCAACAGACATTCAGTTGAGACGCGTTTTAATTAGAGTATAAAAGTAAATTTTTAGATTTATTTGAAATTAACTATTCACAAAAAGCGATGCACAAAAATAAGATTGATTAACAAGCTTAGGAGCTTGTTAATATTTTTGTTTTAAATCCTAATTTGTCAACAAAGTATTTGTTTCCGGATTAACTACTGTTTGCTTAAGATAAAGAGTTCTGTTGCACTTTTGAAGTTTCAGACATTAAAATAAAAATATGTTAGTTAAATAAATTAATTAAAAAACAGAGTTCTAAAATATGAAATATAAAAATCACCTGGGACTTTTGATTTACATTTCAGCCGGTCTTGAGATACCTATTTTCATAGTACCTCTATTTGTGTATTAAGTACCTATTACCAAAATACCAGTATAATGGGATATCTGCAAGCGTCGTAGTGAGAATATCTCAAACCTGATTAGTGGCTAAAACGCGATATTTTTTCGTTAGCTACTGTTCTTTCCATTCTATTTCGAGTAAACTAAGCCCGTCAAGTGTCAGTTCTCTTAAGCAACACATTCTATATTCTTACACGAAAGTTTAAAATCTTTCACTGCATATTTCTTACTTAACACAAAGGCAGGCATGAAGCCACGTAGGACATAAACAAACTAATTATGCATCCAAGCTGGAAAGGTACACAAAATTGAAATGTGTCACGATTACAATAAAATACATAAACAAATAATAAATCTAAATTAAGTAAAAGACGTAGAGGAGAAAGAATTATATATCAATAAATTCGACGAGCGATACGTCATTGTATTCAATTAATTTCACGTAAATTGACATCATAACTTATATGAAGAATTAGCACAACTTTAATGCACCATTTTGCTTATAAACGATCAGCTAGCGTCGACGTCACATGTGTGTGTATAGTAATCTTCTTCTTGAAGTGCAAGTAACCAATTAATTGAAAATCAATGGTGTTTTGATACTATTGAAGTTATAGCTGAAAATAAACTGATAAAAAATAGCTTAAAAGTTAGTTACTTAGTTTAAACCTCACCGACTAACTTTGATAAGCAAAAGTAAAATAGCAAAATAAATAATCAAACGAAAACTTTCTCATAGATTAATAAATAATTTCTGTGGTATAAAAAAATAGTTCTGATACTGTAAAAGCTATATATGTTTTTTTTTTATACTTTGACAAAAATTCGGATTGAGATATTTTCCTTTGATACGTAAATTGTCACGATTAAAAAGCAATACTGCAGTGCAATTGAAAAATCAACGAAAGCGACAAAAAATTCATAATTAAGATCGTCATACATTTGGAATCCTTATAGGGTAAGCGACATATTGCGAAAAAAAAAATTTTTTTTTTTAAAGATAACATTTCTTTTATCAGTTTTTTGAAATGCTATTTTACCACATTAGAAATAGAAGGAGATAAGTTGTCAATCCTCTTAACTCGGAATCAATCGTTAAGAACTTACTTTGTTTTTTTTCCATTGCACGGTAAAATACATGTTAGCAAATTATTTTCCCATTTAAAACATAGTAAGACGAGCCCATAGTTTTCAAAATCACCTTCGGTCATATTTGTTTAATGAAAAATTAAGTATTAAAGCTTACAATTTACCACCTCTAAGAAAATTTTCCATCTAAAATGGAAAAGTCGGCAGCTCTTCGATTTTGTTATCGTTGCCGTTAACAAGTTGCTTGTTGCCAAAAATCTATTTGTAACTATTTATTCCTTCGTTACATTACAAAACGCACTTAAATGCACTAAACTCGTTTTTCAACCGGGTTCCGAAGGTTCAATTTTACTCCATTTAATTAATAAAACATTATGACTTAATTTCGCAAATGAAAAAAGTGTATACTGCATTATTTTATTGTTTTTCCTTATTGTTCTTTGCTTATTTTTGTTTTAAGTTTAATTCAACGACTTTGATTTTTTTTTTTTTAAAATCTGAGAAAGTAAGAAATAAATTATTTGGATGTGCAATGAAAAAAAAGTATTATTTTATTAAAAGTATTAGTATTAATGAAAAAAAAGTATTAGTACTATGAAAAAAAAAGTGTATATTTTCTCGATTGCGCGAACTTTTCTAATTGGGAAAAATAGTGAAAGAATAACGTTATTCTACATTAATTTAAATATGCATTATACTGAAAATCATAAAATTCTAATTAGAATGAATAAGAGACATTTTATTGAGGGCTGTTTAGGATTTAAACTACCTTTGGCTCCAATAAGAAATCCAATATTTTTTTTTAGAAAACATGTTGCAAAAAAATAAATAAATAAATAATAATAATAATAAAGCAAAATAGTGCAGTAATAGACATCATTAAAAATAACAGCCGCCTCTTATTTAAGGGGTCATGGAGGTTAAGACTCCTCAATTTTAAGATAAATGTCAGGAAGATGACAATGTGGTCAGTATTGCGCTTCAGCAGCCTTTAATTACCAATCATTATGATCAGTTACTGGGTAGGCTTAATGCCTCCACCTATAAAAGAGTATTGCATATTATCACATATCGTATTGGCTATCAAGCAGCATTGCTGAAAATGAATGAATGTACAGCGCACGCTAAAAAGGAACGAAAAAGCACTTTAATTACTTTTGGTCGGGCGGATTTTATGGTCACTAGTTCAAAAGTTATTGAAGTGTTCTTTTTCTGCGCAGTGTAACTAATAAGTTTATGCATCTCCTATTTGTTATTATTGGTAATGTATCCTGTAAGGAAGTATAACAAAAATTAAAAATAAAAATAAATAAATAAAAAACTTTAAATTTTGAAACTGAGTAAAAATCAGTTTTATTATTCGGGGGCAATGGAAAAGATTTTCACTACCTTTTTTATTGCAATAAATTACAATTGTTACAGAGAATTTAAACAATTACAAGTAAAATACTGCACGTCTATTGCGAGATAATTGGGATACTTTATTGGAATATTAATCACTCTATAGAAACCACCGGAACGAGCCTGACCACTGGACAATGCGTGCGTCACTTCCTTGCAGATAATCTTGCCTATTCCTTTGTGTTAATCTTTCATAATTAAAATTCCTAAAGCTTAGGACAGAAAATGAGTAATCAGAATTATTACTGAGGGATAATCAATACTACTAATTATTAAGATATTTCTTAATAGTCAAAACGTTATTGCTCTGAGGTAGTTGAGATAATTATTAAGGTATAGTTGAATAATCAACGCTGTTGTTAAAAGATAAATTAGAGATGAAATTAAAACAAACCTACTCAATTGAATCACAGTGTTTAAAAGAACAGCAAAATCTACGGTGGAATAATTAAGTCACTTTCTTTGTGAGTTTCAAATATTAAGAGAGAAAATATATTCTCCTTTCACTAAAAGAAGAAAAAAAACTATTTCCATATATTAAAGAAAAGTTGTTAATCAGCTTAATTATTTAAGAATATTTGGAATAATTTATTTGTTTAATAATCAACATTATTATAAAGAGATAATTGTAAAGAAGAATTTGAAACAGAGGTCCTTAACCTGACCACAATGTTTAAAAGGGAGGAGATAATAAAGAAGCTTCTTTGCAAGCTCCAAATTAATAAAAATAAAGAAATTGGAAGAAAAAAAAAAGAAGAAGAAGAAAAAAAACTTACAGAAAAAGACGGCTAAAAATTCCTCGCTGCTGATGAGTTCATCCAGTCGTTTGTGATCGACATCTTCGATAGGGTTGCGGCGGGTGGTGCTCTTCTTTTTAGCATCGTTTGCACAAAAGAAGCTGCTGAGGAAGAAGAGAAGAATCAAAGCGACCGATCCTCGCATCCTTCCCAATGCTTCTGTCACGGATTGCAATCCCAGCAATCCCTGCTTCCCTACATTGCTTTTTCTTCTGACACGTGGAGTTTAAAAACGTTCGAAAAGTATTTTGACACTCCTCTGCGTCTGCTAAACTTTAGATAACATTAAAATATACCAATAATTCAAAATAAAAATTGAACTTACAAAGTTCGTAGAAAATTTTTTCCCAAAACGGTGGAAGGAAAAGTTTAGATAACTTTAAAAAATAACAATTGATTAAATAAAAATTGAACTTGCAAACAAAGTTCTTAGAAATGCTTTCCCAAAATTATGGATGCAAAGTTTAGATAACTTTAAAACATACCAATTGATTAAATAAAAATTGAACTTGCAAACAAAGTTTTTAAATTTTTTTTCCCAAAATGGTGGATGGCAAAGTTTAGACAACTTTTAAACATACCGATTGATTAAATAAAAATTGAACTTGTAAACAAAGTTCTTAGAAATCCCCCCCCCAAGCAGTAGACTACGATCCACTGATTAAGTTGTGAATCATTTCTATTTAGAATTCCAGTAGTACTGGTAATACTTTATTTATGTCGCACTATATCTGCAAAACGGGCTATTGGCGATCGTCTGGGAAACATCTCTGAGGTTGATCAGAAGACATGCCATTGCAATTTTAATCTCCTGCAGGGATGATGCCCCCTCCCGATTTAGTAGTCCAATGACCTACGTGCGAAGCCAAGCAATTCACGGTAGAACAGTTTAACGAGGACCGATACCTCACACCCTCGATCCCTTTGCAGAATTATCGAAGTGGTCACCCACTCGCATACTGTCAGTGAGGCTTGACTTAGGTGATCTACTGGGAACCGTGTCTTAATGCCCACTGCGAGACTATTTGAAATTGTTGTTCTAACTTTATTGCTAATTTTTTTCTTACTAACAAATATAATGTATGAAAAATAAGGAAGAATGTCCTAATTTATGTTACTTAAGTTTACAGAACGCAAAAACAAACCAGTTTATTTTTAAAATAGTATACATGCTTTAAACTCAGGTTCAAACGGTAATATTCTTGTACCGAGAAGTGATTCTAAGTAATTCTAATAGCAGAAACAAACCAGTTTATTTCTAAAATAATGTACATCTTTTAAACTCAGGTTCGAAAGATATATTCTAGTTCCGAGAAGTGATAATAAGTGCTCATTGCTCAGTGTATTTAAATTAGAATATTTCTCAAAGTGCATGGTAAGAATAAACTTGTTCCCATAAGAGAGACCAAATTATAGAATTTTTTTTTATTTATTGGGTGTAAGATTTTCAATAAAAATTTATAAATCTTGAATGGAATGAATTTTCGTTCAATGGATGCAAGATTAAAAACCAATAAATTCAAGCTGCGAATCTTGTTTAAATAATTCATAACTTACGTTAAAAAACATGATAAAAATATTCATTTTTGTTTAAATTGCATTGAAACTATCAAATCTGCTTTCTAATATGAGAATAAAGTGATCTGTTACGTTAATGCGGTGAAATCAAAATAGTTTTTGATTTATTTGTTCTCCTTTTTTTATCGGTTATCTTAGCTGTAAGGAACGTTTTGGACTACGGGGCCAGTAGTGGTGGGTTCAAATCGTAGGCGTGGATGTAACTATCTCACAGTGTTATATGTAAGGGAGTGGCGATTCTGGTATTTCTGAAGCCAATGGGAAAAGGACCCCCGTGTGCCCTCCTTTCAAAAAACTTGCAAGGTACTAATAAATGCTGAAGGTAGGCGATATTGTGCGATAAAATTTGGAACTTTTCCACTGACCAGTGGTCTGTTCCAGCATTTTCAGTAGAGGTAACTCTTTAAATCATGTGGTCACTTTTTCAAAAATTGAAAATTTTAAACCATTAAAAAAAACTATCGACATTAAAAATGTGAGAAATTTCTTACGAAGAATTTCTCAAAATATGGTAAACATTTTACCCAGTCCTGAAACATTTATAAAAGGAACAAAATTAAGAAATAGAAAGAATTAAATTAAATATTGAAATAAAGAAATAAAGTAACTTTAAAAATAATAAAAAATAATTCATATTAAATCAATATTTCTCAAATAATAATAAAATGCTTTTAAGGGTGCATTTTATTTTTATTATTATTCGATAAAAAGCGATCAGTGGTGGACAATTTTTAATCGCTATTTGATATATTTAGTCATCCTGTGACGATCTTTAATTTTGCCCTCTATGAGATATCTTACTATAGATAAAAATCTAATGATGGTGTCGTAGTTTTCCATTGTTTTCAATACATTTTTATTGGCTGTAAAATAATAGGGTAGGGCCCCTAATGTTATAATAAAATATGAACATATTTCACTAATGCATTTTGCATAATTATTATTAATTCAATAAATTAAATGTCAATATTCTGAGATAGCCTGGATATAACTTTCAGATCTGCATAGTTTGCCCTTTCTTTTCTTAAAAGGCCGCTATATCCCAGGAAAAACTTTTCATGGCGAATTTTGTTTTATCTCCATTGGTAATTTGAAATGTAAAGAAAAGTAAATTCAGGTAAGCCTAGAGTCGAACCCGAAGTTTCAAGTGCTGGATTTTTTCTTAAAGAAATATATCAAAATGGATTGGAAGGTTTAGTGGGGAAATAATCCTGAAATAATTTATTCGCATTTTGATATTTTAAAATCATTTTGATGCTTCAACGGACGGATGCATTTTAAATACAATTTTTGAATTCGTCACTTTATGCATGAAGCTGAAACTCAAGTTCTAAATCATTTAACGAATCTTTTTAACCGTTATTCATAATAGTATATTAATATAATTTGCACCAAAAAATAATAATTGTAAAACGGTTAATAAGATCAGACACCGATTTAAATAACTTTACCCTAAAATGCAACGTAGAATTTCATTATTTTAATAATAATAATAATAACAATTCTCCTGAACTCTGAATTTAGAAAACAAACAAAATCAAAAACGTAATAATAACAGTACAGGTCATTTGAACCTTTAAATTACGGAAATAAAAATATTGGAAAATGAATATAGGAAAACAATAACTATATGGGGAAAAAAAGGAAAACTGCTACACTATCATTAGATTTTTATAAATAGTAAGATAAATTTAAAAAAAAGAAAT